TTAACAAAAGTTGAGAAGGCACGAAAGGAATTATTTGATCTATGACCTAGAGTTAGATACGTTATGAACGCACTTAAGATTTCAGAGCGTTATCCATGTAGCATATATGTTGACATTGATACAGATATAGGAGACTCCAGTATAAGTTGAAAGAAAGAATTGAGTTCATGTCAGTGACAAAAGTTTGAATTGTTAAAAGGTTATATAATGGATGTTCCATAGCGTCCACGAAGGGCTAAAGTAATAACTAATACCCTGAGCCACAGATCTGAAGATAGCGTAAGCCTACTTAAAGGCTGAGATAGAAGAGGAAACTAAAGAGTTACATCAGCTAAGTGAATCAGGAGTCTGATTATTTGACCCCGATTATTATAGAAATCTCGATTCAGAATATTACAGAATCACTCTTAATATAAGAGGTACATGCGAGATAGTAAAATGACCATATTCTATTACGGCTCCACGATAAAGCCAGTTAGAAGAGTATCAGCCTCATAAGAAGTTAGTATGAAGCTCACGACGTATTATGTATGCCTCATAGGTGCAAGTATTATAATAGAGCTTTAAGGTATGGATGTGAAATCCACCTATGTGGAAGGGAGGTTATGAAAGTGACAGAAGATACGATGCGATATTTAAAGATAAGAAAGGTAAAGGTAAAGAAGGTACGAGACACGTAAGTACAGAAGGTTGTGAATAGTCCAGATTTTAGATAGAGGGCTAGAAGCGCCGTGATTCAGTATCCAAAAATGATAGTGGTGTCATCAGTTACATATCTTCTATTCTATGGTTTCCAGGTACCGTGAGGTCTAGTGAAGAGAGTTAAGAAGAGTTAGAGACGACGTGATGTCTCACTTGAGATTCTAGAATAACATAAGGAAATCTATGGTGCTAGCAAGTTAAAAGGGAGGTTGTAAGTAGTATAAATAGATATATGTAGGTCGCAAGGTAAAGTATGGTAGAGAGACAAGGTTTTAGGTAGACAGGAGTAAGAATAAGAAAAGCTGAGTGAGAAGGTGATGAGAATAGGTAAGTCATCGGGATGAAACCCATCAAACAAGAGAGTGGATGGTTTCCGTAATTTATAAAAAGCTCAGTATAGCCTAAATGAACTCAGAGGAGTTTGAGACTAGGAGCATTTAGAAGAGATGGAATGTTTCCCTAGTGGTAGAATAAGGGTGTAATTGCGATAGATAAGAGGATGACGTTTAGGCCTTTGATTGGGTAATGATTCAAAGAAAAGGGATTTCATGAATTGTACAGGATTAAAATACCCTCATAAGGTGAATCACGTTGGGATGCTATGAAATACAGTTATTTAAGTGTAGTATTGTCCCTAAGTGTGTCTGGCAAATAACTCCAGATGTTCCCCGATGAGGCGTGAGCTCTAGTGACAATATATTACATAAGAGGTTTTAAGTTATGAGTGGTAGATTATAGATCAACATTAAGGTGAATCAACAATGGATGGTTAAAAGTTACAAAGTATGAGAGGAGATTAGGTTGTCATTCTTAAGATGAAAAATAATGAGGAAGTATTAAAGGACTTAGATTTATACAAATAGTATAAGCAGCGAGAGAGTAACATGGAGTTGTGTAGCAGACCCCGGTACTAATAAACTAAAGTAAGTATTATGGTTTAGAATGACCTAACTAGATGTAGTAAAGCCATAATCATAGCTAACCGAGGCTATGAAACAAGATATAGAAAAAGTTGTAAGTTTGACAAGTACCGAGCGAAGAACTTCAGTACACCTAGAGATGCTTACAGGGACATCTTGTCTTAGTTCTGTATATGTTCACAAAGTGCAGCCTAGAGATTGGCTAAAAGATGGAGGACAAAGGAGAGAAGAGTCACATAGGCGCACATATAAGGACATAGTCGTACAGGCTGCATGACATAAGGTAGCAATATTTACAAGATTAGAAGAATTCCGACCACAAGTCGTGGTTTGAGAGAAAGGCCAAAAGGGTGGAATGCCCTGGCCTTTAGATTTATTCACAGAATAGATGCCTAGATGGAAAGGACAATAGTAAAGTATTTGTAAGATCTATAGGTTATGATACTGATAAGCGCATCAGTCAACATTCAAGGACGAATGTTCCAAAGGGGGGAATGATGTTACACCCCATGTTTTCGTACATAAGAGTACGTCGTAAGTCAATTGATGTATGCTCAGAAATGAGATCATCTTTGAAAAGTTTATAAAGTATGTTAATCATGTTACCATGGAGGCTGCAAATTTTTAAGATCACGAATGCCAAGTACCAAGAGGGTTGGAAGGCTTAGAAGTTAAACGAATTGAAGAAAATAAGTTTCGCCGAAAGTCGACAAGTTGGGAATGTTATAACATCTACTTTTAGGGTGAGACTAGGGTACTTAAAATTATAAAGAGATTATGTTATGAGTTATTTAAGTCTTATAATAGTCGTGTGTTATGTTTTGAAGTCAAGCGAGTGTGGACCAAAAGTTGGAAAAGATCATCACAAGTTACATTCATAAAAGTGCTGAAACTTAGGTCAAATGTAGCTGAGCTTTTCTACCCATATACTTAGAATTATGGGGTGATATACCTAGAAAATCGAAGATATACGAGTCTAGTTTCTAACACATTTAACCATTTGTCGATACGACAACGGAGTAGAGAGATATTCATGTTTTTGTGGGACTGCACAAGCAGGTCCCATGGATCCACAAAGTCGGTGTAAAACTCCAGCTTGTATTAAAGTCAATTCTAAATCATTTTCACACATTTTTCTCGTCCAAAATAGTTCCTAAACCCTCCTAAATGCTTTCCAAGGGTTCCTCCATGATCATAGGGTGAAAACCTAAGATAAAAACATGAATTCAACGCTAGAAACCCTGTGGTGTTAGATAATAGTTCTTTATCTTGTGGCTGTTTTGGATGGTTCTTCAAAGTGAAGTAACCTCAAGTTTTATATTTTTCTTGTTGATTAAGATAATAATCAGTACCTCCTTCATATATATATATATATATATATATATATTTTTTTTTTTTTCAAGGCGAACTACAGGTGTTTACGCACCTACTTGAACACCAAAATTTGATTCAAGGAGAGAATACAACACCTATAGTGTTATGGTGTCATTGAGGATAATTGTGGGTTGTGTTTGGGTGAAATTTTAAGTTGTTGCTACTGTCTAGGGTGAGTATAACAGACTAATAATTGTGCATAAGCTTGCTTGTATGTTGGTTAAGTTGTTTGTATGATAAACTACAAGATAATACTTGGATTAGCTTGAGATGTTGTTCTTGATGGATTGATTTGAAAGTTTGTCTTATGAACTTTAAGTGGCTGGAAATTATAGAAAATAAGTTGGCTATGATATTGTTAGTATGATTATGTTGGTTTACTTGTCAATCTTTTTAAGGAAATTGGTAACTAGAAAAGGAAATGGCTATAAAGCACTTGGAAGTTGTCGACAATGATATTATCTTGTGTTAGGCTATTTCGGGTAACTTTAAAATTAAGTACAAGGTTGAAAATCCTTTAAAAGGTATTGGTTATTATACTGAATATATTACTAAGTTCAAGAATGAATGATAATGGGGTTGAAGGGTGCTAAAAGAATTCAATCTGAGCTTGCCGCTCGTCGGGATATGTTGATGACTTGTTAATGAAATATTTTGTACCCTATTATTGATGTTGTTCTTATTGTATTGCTTTGGTTGTTGTTGTTGGTGATAACAACAAGGTCGAAAATCCAAACTAGAGTAAGAATTTGAGAAGTAAATACGAAAGCAATAACAATAAGGAATTGAACAACTAGAATTAAGGTGCAGAAAATAAAGGATATATGAAAATCGAGGAAAGAATTCCAAGACCTTCCAAAAACGCAAGTTCTATAGCCTTCCCAAGAACCAAGCAACAACATTTTGATTTATTGACGAAATCAAACTCCTTTACTTAAAAACAAATCAAAACAATAGATTCGCATCATGACCGCTTTACGAGTTACTTGAGACAACAATTAATAACTCGTATTAATCGCCTTCTAAGAATACCACAAAGTAATCAATGATATCATAATAAAGAAATTATCTTACTATCTTGAACTATGAACTAGTAAAGGCTGAAAGATAAATCTCAAAGAATAAGTAACAAAGGTTCAAAAGAACTCTCAAAGTATAATATTCTTAATCAATCATGAAGTGCCTCAATGAATGAGAAGAACTCCCTATTTATAGGGGTAAAAGCCCTTAAAATTAGGTAGGGTGGCTGCTAAGGCATAAAAAGTCATTAAAATTGGGTAGTGTAGCTGCTAAGGAATTAGAAAAGTCATTAACATTAGGTAGGGTGGGCGCCCAAATCCCTTTGGGGCAGATTTGTACCTTAAAACTACTAGTTTTGGCAATTGGTTTGGACTTCAATTGGGCTCCTTTTCAAACACACCCTTTTGGACCTCTTTTAAGCTCATTTTGAGCTCTTCTGGGTGCCTTTTTGCTGGATTTCAAGGGCTAAGTTCGGGACCCAATCTTCCTCCTCTTGGACTTCAATTTGGGACACTAAATAATTATAAAACTTGTACAATTCATCTCTTTTGGGCTTGAGCTCATCCTCTACAATTAAAAGCCCGAGGTAGCTACTTTTTTTTTTCGTGCTTCTTAAGTCGATGTTGACCTGTATATAAGTCAGATGTTGGAAAGGGAAGCCCCCATAATATAAGCACTCTTTCAGTCAAGTAATGCCTTTAGAGCCTATAGTATAGCTGAGTAGCTAAGAGCTTCTGGTAATTTAAAAACGTAGGAATCGACTTCTTTTGCGTTAATGGGGCTNTTCTTTATTTGCCATTGAAATCTAGCAACCTTGGTCTGCATCTCTTTAACATGATATCTTGTAAATGGCCTTCTTGAAGCTTCCAAGAATCTATCCTTGTCCTTGATGCTATCATTTCCCTCTTCTTGAAAAGAATTCGTCCCCGAATTCAATCCTACATCAAATAAAGACAAATCAGTAACATTGAATGTAGCACTTACTTGAAACTCACCAGGAAGGTCCAGCTTGTAAGCATTATCTCCAATCCTTTCAAGGACTTGAAATGGACCATCTCCTCTAGGATGCAACTTTGACTTCCTTTTGGAAGGAAATTTCTCCTTTCTAAAGTGAACCCAAACTAAATCTCCAGGTTTAAAAATAACTTGTTTTCGACCCTTATTCTTTCTCAAGGAAGTTTGCTCATTTCTCTTCTCAATTGCAAGCCTTGTTTGCTCATGAATTATTTTCTTCATCTCGGCCTTTGTCCTACCATTAATATTAGCAATATTATTTGTAGGTAATGGTAATCAATCAAGGGGAGTAAAGGGATTAAAATCATAAACAACCTCAAAAGGAGACATACCTGTATAAGAATGGATTGTTCTATTGTGAGCAAATTCAATCATAGGTAAGTGATCTTCCCAAGAAGTTAATTTACCTTTCAAAACAGCCCTCAACATGTTTCCCAAGGTTTTATTAACTACTTCAGTTTGTTCATCAGTTTGTGGGTGACAAGAAGTAGAAAACAACCATTTAGTGCCTAACTTCCCCCAAAATACATGCCAAAAGTGGCTCAAAAACTTAGCATCCCTATCACTAATAATAGTTCTAGGTATACCATGCAATTTAACTTCTTTTACAAAAATATCAGCAACATGTGAAGCATCATTAGTCTTTAAACAAGGAATAAAATGAGCCATTTTGGAGAACCTATCTACCACAAACAATATACTATCCTTACCATATCTTGTTCTAGGCAAAACTAACACAAAATCAATAGAAATATCAATTCAAGGTAAAGTAGGAACATGTAATGGCGTGTAAAGACAATGTGGTAACACTTTAGATTTATCTTGTTTACATTCCAAACATTGTGCACACTTTCTTTCAACATCTTTTCTCATTCCAGGCCAAAAGAAATTTTCAGCAAGTATGTCTAGTATCTGTGGGACTCCAAAGTGACCCATAAGTCCTCCACAATGTGCTTCCCTTACAAATACTTCACGTAAAGGGCAATTAGGGATACACAACTTATTTTCCTTAAAGAGATACCCATCTTGGAGATTAAACCTCTCAAAAGGACCCAACTTACGATCTACAAAAATCTTGCCAAAATTAACATCATTAGCATAAAGTCCCTTGATTTGATCAAAACCCATCAATTTAGAAGTCAGAGTAGAAACTAAAACATACCTTCTTGAAAGTGCATCAACAACAACATTCTCTTTTCCTTGTTTTTAATAAATTACATAAGGAAATGTTTCAATGAATTCAACCCACTTAGCATGCCTCCTATTAAGCTTACCTTGACTCAAAGCATATAGCTCTTTGTCATTAGTTGAATAGTTCAATGTGGCTCCACTCAAATTCTCACTAAAGTAGGCTATAGGTTTAGAATCTTGTATCAAAACAACACTTATTCCTTTGCAGAAGCATCACATTAATGATTTCAAAAGATTTAGAAAAATTAGGCAATTGTAACAATGGAGCAGACCATAACTTTTCTTTCAACAATTTAAAAGCATCATCTTATTTTTTTCTCAATGTAAAAATATTATCCTTTTTAATAACTTCAGTTAAAGGAGAAGCAATGGTACTAAAGTCTCTCACAAACCTCCTATAAAAACTAGCAAGTCCATGAAAACTCCTAACTTCAATTACACTCTTAGGTTTAGGCCATTCTTTTATTTCTTTGATTTTCTCTTCATCAATGTCAACTCCTTTAGAACTAACCACAAAACCCAAGAAAATCACACGATCCACATAAAAAGTACTTTTTAAGATTAGCAAATAAAAGTTGCTTTCTAAGAACTTCAAAAACTTGTTTTAGGTGTTCTATATGATATTCTAAAGTGTTAGAAAAGATCAAGATATCATCAAAGTACACCACATCAAATTTTTCATGAAAATCCTTAAAGATATGATTCATTAATCTCATGAAAGTGCAAGATGCACTAGTCAAGCCAAAAGGCATAACTAACCACTCATAAAACCTGTATTTGATCTTAAAAGCAGTTTCCATTCATCTCCAGGATTCATTCAAATCTGATGGTAACCACATTTTAGATCAATTTTAGAAAATATTTTGGATCCATGTAATTGATCCAACATGTCATCAAGACGAAGAATAGGATGGCGATAATTTACCGTTATCTTGTTGATTGCTCTACAATCCACGTACATCCTCCAAGTTCCATCCTTTTTGGGTACTAATAGGATGGTAATAGAGCAAGGGCTCATGCTCTCTCTCATAAAGCCTTTCTCAAGCAACTCCTCAACTTGCCTTTGAAGCTCTTTTGTCTATTCTGGATCACTCCTATAAGTAGGCCTATTTGGAATTTGTGATCCAAGCACAAAATCAATTTGATGCTCAATTCCACGCAAAGGTGGCAATCCATTAGGAATATCTTAAGGGAAGAAATCTTCAAAATCCTGCAAAAGAGAAGAAATACTACTTGACAAAGAAGAAGTTAGTAACTCAGAATCAATCAAAACTTCTTTGTAAGTAAGTAGTATTATGGGAAACCCCTCTTATCTTGCATTTAAACACTCTTTGGCTTTTATATAGAAACTCTATTTTTTTCCTTTCCTTAGACTCTTTCCTCTCACCAAGGCATTCTATTATTTCATTCAAACTCCTTTTTATCTCTTCTCTCAAATTTCTGCCCTTTATCTCTTTCTCTCGGTCATCTCTGTTTTTTTTTCTAACTCTTGGCCTCCTTTCTTTTCTTTTTCCTCGCGCACACTTTTTATCCTTCCCCTTGGTTTTCCTATTGTTTCCCTTAATCTCTTTTGATCTTCAAACACTTGAGAAGGAGATAAAGGTATAAGAGTAAATTTTCTTCCATTTAACTCAAGAGAATATCTATTCTTCCTTCCATCATGAAAAACATTCCTATCATACTGCCAAGGATGACCCAGTGAGATATGGAAAGCTTGCATAGGGATTATGTCACAAAGAATATCATCATCATATCTACCAACATTGAATGAAATCATGCATTGCTTGTTTACCTTTAGTTCACAACTATCATTTAACCATTGGAGTCTATAGGGAGTAGGGTGTTTCATCCATGCAAGTTCCAATTTTCCCACAAAGTATGAACTCACCACATTAGCACAACTACCAATATCCATGATCATAGAACAAGTTTTCCTTTGTTTCATGCATGCAAGTTCCAATTTTTCCACAAAGTACAAACTCACCACATTAGCATAACTACCAATATCCATGATCATAGAACAAGTTTTCCCCTTTATCCCACACCTAGTATGGAATATATTCTCCCTTTGTTCTTCACTATTGCTTCCCAAATTGATAGTCATAATCCTCCTAACTATCCCAATCATGCCATCATTAGGTAGTTCTATATCATCTTCATCACTCACATCTCCCTCTTCTTCTCCCTCACTCTTTTCACCCCCATATCCTCCATCTTCTCTAAGAATGATGTTTCTTCTACTTGAACATTCATGCATCATATGTCCCCTTCCTTTACATTTATGACATTGAATAGAACTAGAAGATGTAAAAGGTTTAGGGTTAAAGGTTTTACCTCCCTCTTTGTTCTCAAATTTACCTTTACCCTTGTCTTCTTGAGGTCTAGAAGAACTCTTCATCTCTTGATTCAGCCCTGGCTTCTTGGAGATGGTGTTTGACCTACCTTTCCACGAGCTAGTTTGCTTTCTTTTATTTTGATTTTCTACCTTTATATACAAATCAACTAACTCATCTATTGTTACATATTGTTGTAATTCTACTGTATAAGCTATTTCCTTATTTAAACCATTTAAAAACCTAGCCATTATAGTCTCTTATTCCTCCATACAATTAACTTGCATCATAGCCATATCCATAGACTTAAAGTACTCATCCACAGACATGGACCCTTGCTTCAATGTTTGAAGACGTTGTTGTAGCTCCCTTTGAAAGTGTGATGGTATGAATCTCTTCCTCATCACCCTCTTCATCTCAACCCAAGTAGCAATTGGTGCTTGTCCTTCTTGCAATCTTCCCCTAGTAAGATTTTTCCATCAAATAGCAGCATAGTCAGAACACTCAACAATAACAAGTTTAACCTTCTTACCCTCAGAGTAGTTGTGACAGTCAAAGATGGCTCCAACCTTTCTCTCCCAATCAAGGTACAAGTCTGGATCCCTTGTTTCCTTGAAAGATGGCATCTTCATATTTATACTACTTATATTATTATCTTTTACTCTATCTCTTTGTCCCCTTCTATCTCTTCCCACCCTATCAAAATCAATATCATTAATATCATCTATAGGGTTTTCTTGATTTATAATGGGAGCAAGGGGTACATTTCTCCTAGCTTAGGGCCTAACATTATTTTCCCTTCTAAGTTCAGCTATTGTATTATTTTTCTTAGTAATGGTGTCCCTCATCTCTTAGAGTTGCAAATTCCACCTTTCAAATTGTTGATGCATAGCTTGCAAGGTAAAATCATTTCTTGCTTTGATTTCGGCTACTTGAAGAACCCTTCGTTCATTATCACTACTTGTACGTGACATCTTAAATAATTAAACTGTATCAAACAAATTGACTTTTCTCTCAATTGTTCTCACACACACTTTGCCTTTTTTCCTCTCGAAATAACCTTTGAAATAAATTCTTTATAGATTTATAGTTAAACCCAACTCATATAAAGTTATTAGTTGTAAAATATAGATTTTTGGGGAACAAGTGAAAGAAAAACCAAATCTTAGAACTATTGGGCTCGGTTGAAACAAGACACGAACAAAAAGAAAAGGATTATATATTTAGATTAGAAAGAGTATGAAAAATTGAATTTTTTTCTTATCTTTGAAATATGGGACCCCCTCTTCTTGTTTTCCTTTAATAGATTTTGGAAACAAATTAGATACAAAAGAAAGTTTCTGGAAGAACGCAAATCTTTTTTTTAAAATTGATTTTCTTATGCTTTTTTTTAACTCATTTTTTTTGCTCTTAGTATTTAACAAATCCCCAAAATTATCAAGAACGAAATCTTGATAGAACCACTCTAATACCACTTGATAATAACAAGGCCGGGAATCCAAACTAGAGTAAGAATTTCAGAAGTAAATGCGGAAGCAATAACAATAAGGAATTGAACAACTAGAATTAAAGTTCAGAAAATAAAGGATATGGGAAAATTCAAGGAAATAATTCCAAGACCTTCCAGGAACGCAAGTTCTATAGCCTTGATAAGATTCAAGCAACAACATTTTGATTTATTGACGAAATCAAATGCCTTTACTTAAAAACAAATCAAAATAAAAGATTCGGATCTTGACCGCTTTACGAGTAACTTGAGACAATAATTAATAACTCGTATTAATCGCCTTCTAAGAATACCACAAAGTAATTGACGAGCGCAAATCACACACTTAAATATGCTCGCTAGTCAAATATAATATAATATCGTATCCACATTGATTGAAGTTAAACAATATTATCGTAGTTTGTAGCTAGATTGCTATCCATGATGATCAACAATTAGATTTATGTGATTAATACAAAAATTAACTAAGAATCTAGAGCAAATTGACTAATGACAATCGAAGCAAGGACTAAGTAAAGGAAAATATCAATGGGAGAAAATAGGGGTTTGATAGGATAGGTGCAAGATAATTGTCTGGGATTTAACTATAGATAATTCACTTCTAATGTTCAAGTGACTCTTTTGAATTCACTTAATTATCAGTACAATTATTTTGTAGAAACTCCTCTCAATTAAGTCTCAACCTCACAATATGAACCAATTTAAGCTCTATGAATATATGCAAGAATGCGTAATAGATTGGTCTTTAGGAGAACCTCTCTCGATTATCCTCCTAACTAGGTTCAATCAATGATTCAACTAGCCGCTTTTGATTATTAAGAAGATTTAATGAACTCAACCAATAAGATAATGCAAAGATATCATAAGTTATGCCTCTCTCTATTACATGAACGGGTGAATATAGATGCAATAATTAGATCATCCAAAAACGCTTCAATACATAAAAATAGAGTTGTAATCCATAAACAAATATCAATACACCAAATCCATCAAACCCTAAAGAGAACTACTCCATATATATAGAGCAATTCATCACAAATATGTTTAAAGTAAAAGAAAACATAAAACAATCCAAACTCGGGTCTTGAGTGAGGATT